CACACGTCCTAAAAACATCTAGAATCCATCCACTTTCCTCCATTTATTCTGCCACCACCTTGGTCTAAACCACCAACGCAAGAATCTCCTAGTCCATCTCTCTGCTTCTGCTTTTGCAGAAATATCACTCCCTTTAAACACAGTACATCAACTTAATAAGAAGAGAAGTAAATGCTAATTTCAAGTTTCTTCTTTTCTGGGGTCAATATTTGGTAGCTCTGGAAATCTAAAATCCCTTAATTAGCATTAGAGTCGCCAGTGAACTTACAATGAACAAGTTGAGGCCATTCATGGGTAACCTCTGAAACAATCCCTCTTCAAGTTTTCCAAGGAAAGTAACAATTTTCTTGGGTATGCTGAAGCCAATGACCAGTCCAATCCATTTGCTAATTTGTGTTTATGTAACACAAGGGGATAAACCAGGAAAAATCTGGGCAGAAATGGTAAATCTGGGGCTCAATAAAGTTGCCTTAAAATATTCTTGTTTCAGAATGAATTCTAAGATTTATAAAGAGATTCCTTGATTCTAGTGCACACCTGATGTGAGACATTCCGGTCATTCAAATGCATATTCTATGCATTGAATGGCGTATGCCCATCAGCCCAGGTTGCTAAGTCGTGGGGCAGAGCACTAAACAATTTGGGCACTCAGCAAGTTAGAATTCAGATAAATATAAAACACATGGAGCCAACTTTTTCAGATGACTGATGCTCAGGAACAGCTGATGCCTCCTGACTGGATAGATAAATGTTTTGGTTGTGAGAGCTAGAGTTCTCTCTGAACACTGCCAGCCTATCACGTTGTTGTCTAATCATCGAATTCTAACACAGCAACATATACACGGAAATGTAAGTACAGGTTTCAAGGTTTGTGTGACACTACAGAGCTGTGAACTAGCCAAACTGAACACCAATTACTTCCATCGAAATAACAACCAGAACCAAGGAAAAAATGTTTCCCTGTATATCAAAGAGGCCACAGTATTGGCACGAATGACTCATATCATAGAACATGACGGCAATTTAAGTGTGTCAAAGTTCTCACAATTTAAATCTGAATGTTCACCCACCAACATGTCTTAATATTGTTGATACTAAACAAGGAAACTCCACTCAAGCTCTTTCCACAAGAAAAACGCATTACCAATTCAGTCAGAAGGGTATCCCCAAGTATGAACTACATAGTTGGGGCTCAGTTATTTAATACACAAGCCATTCTGTGACTAAAACCTAATCACATCACCAAAAACATTTTTGGAAGCCACATGTGAGATATGTTTTCTGTGTATCGTATCTTCTTCTCTATAGTAGAAAAATGACATTTCGGACGGTGGATACACTGGTTAGACCAACATTATAGATTAGAGGAGGATGAATGTCTGGATGAAAGGGGTCGAGTCAACCCAAGTGTAGACAAATCTTGAAGTCTGCACTTGTATTCCCACGTGTAACCTGCTTTGCCGGTATTCACTGATGAGACAACGTGACAGGCTAGCAGCACTGGAAAATCTGTAGCTCTCACAATCAAAACAGTGTGTTTGTAAAATGATTCAGCCCCCCCCCCCGCCTTTCCTTTTGGCCTCTGAGCTGCAGACCCAGCAAGTTGTTTCTGTCACCAAAAATGCGCTTGGAACTATACATAGAGCCGAAATGAGCTTTCTTATGAGACTTCCTTTGGGGACAGGTCCAGAATCTCTGAAAGGGAACTGCTGCTGCGAGACAATTTTAGCTGCAGGGATTCCAAATCCTTACTGGGATGCCGGTGACAATGAGTGCTCTGCTGCCGCACCGCGATTTCACTGCAAAGCTTTCCCACACAAGGTCCACGGCGCGGGGAGCAAGTGTTTGCGGGGCAGGACCTTGGCTTTCCTCAGAATCAGGCCTTTCCGGAGGCCCTCCTCCCAGCCTTCCAGCGCATGGAGCTAGTCCCGTGTCTAAAGGAGTCGGTAGGAAAAAGGCGCAGTAATGCGAGTGGGTGGTCGCCGGCCTGCTCCGTGCCGCCCAAGCGACCAACTTTGCGGCGCCGGCACCAAGTGCCTGGACCCGATTAAAAGGGAAGGATTAGAAAGGGGGTGCCCGCCGGGCAGCGTACTCACCCTCCCCAGCGAACGCCGGGGCAAGGAACCGCGCCGCGACCCCGCGCGGCCTTCCGGGTGAGCTGCCCGCGGCCGCCGGGACTGTATGGCCGGCCGGCTCGGCGTGCTTCGGCTGAGCGGTGGGATCTGGCCTGGCCCGTCATCGGCTTCCTGTCCCCGGCAGGCTCTAGCCCAGACCAGGCCCCCGGCCTCTCACCCCGACCTCGGGTTTCCGCCACAGCCCCCAGCCCGGGCCCTGGACACGCGTCCGGCCCCTGCCTCCGTGCCCGGCCCCCACGCCGCCTCCCGTCCCTCACATCTCCGGCCGGCGTCCCCACGACCGGCCCCGACCATGCCCCCGGCTGGGCCCTTCTTCAGCTGGGCGCGCACCTCTCCTTGGAGTAGAGCTGCAGCTGCTGCTCCTGCTGCTTCTTCCGGATAAACGCCATGGAGGGCAGGCGCGGGCGGGCGCGGAGCGCACAGGCAGGCCCCACCGCCGCCCGCCGAGGGGGTCCGGAGGAGCCGGGGAGGGCGGACTTGGCGGCCGGCTAGGGAGCGCGCGGCTGCCGGCCTGGCTTCCCGTGCGGCGCCGCTGGACGGCCGAGAGCCCGACGCGGCGTCCCGGCCGCGCTCACCGCAGCATCCTCGCGTGGGGACTCCGGCGGCACCGTGACTCAGGCCCGGAGGAGGGGCGCGCAGTGGCACGAGGCGCCCCAAACTCAGGATGCCTCAGAGAATCGCCAGGAGCAGCGGCCAGACTAGGATCCGACATCACACACTAAATGTTTCACCACTTTACCAACTATTGCAGGCTGCGTTTTAAATATTTTACGCATAAAAAGGGATGCTGGCCCATAAACCACCAATCTGTTGGCCACAAGGAGTTGAAATAACAATGTTTTCGGTCCTCAATTGTGGAAGAAAAAAAAAAGACGGAAGTAACTATTCCAAATACACCAGGAACAAGTGGGGATTTATAGCCAAGGAGCAAGGAGCAGCTGTTCGGAAAACTGCTAAGAGGAAACATCAATTCTAGGGGGAATTCTGGCTGAACCAACCTAATAGGAATCCCAGTGAAGGCAGGCCAGGGGGTCAGATACCAAGGGTAGGGAATAAAGAATTTTGATCACATATGGAAGGTGGGGGATTCTTGCTAAACTGCCGTGGCAGTGTTACTTCCTAACACTGCATTTACAAGGAAGTGCACACAAGGACCTGGGAGAAGATTCAGAAGCCTAACTGAAGTTTGGCCAAGCAAAGAATCTTTAACACAGTCTCTTGATTGTTGAAATAATTGGTCACATGACTTTTTTTTTCTGTATAACAGCTTTAGTAGGATATAACTCACATACCAAACAAGTCAACCATTTAAAGTGTACCATTCAGCGATTTTTAGTATATTTCCAGGTATGTTCAACCAATCACCACACTTTGAGAACATTTTCATCACATGTGAAAGAAACCCATGCCCTCTAGCTATCCCTCTTCCTAACTCTACCCTCCAAACCCCAGCCCTAGCAAACAATAATCAATTTCCTGTCTCTATAGGTTTGCCTATTCTGGACATTTCATATAAATGCAGCCATACAATATGTGGCCTTTTGTATCTGGCTTCTTTCATTTAGCATAATGCTTTCAAAGTTCATCTATGTTGTAGCATGTATCTGTACAGTACTTCGTTCCTTTAGATTGCTGGAGCATATTCTGTTGCATTTTGTTTATCCATTCACCAGCTGATGGACATTTCAGTTGTTTCCACATTTTGACTATTGTGAATAAGGCTGCTGTACATCATGTACAGTTTTTTTTATGGACATATGTTTCCATTTCTGTTGAGTGGAATTGGCATATAAGAGTGGAATTGCTGAATTTGGAGGCGAGAGCAGCTCCATCTTGGAAGCTAATCCTCCGTGCTGGCTTCTGATTAACCCCTGTTCTGGGAAGTCCTCTAAGATTTCTACTTTATGTGTTGTTCCTTGAGTAAGAGCAGGTGTCTACCCAGTATGTCCTGTCCTTAGTTCAAACAACCTTGATGTTATTACACTTCAATTGTCCTACACATCCCTTCTGAACCACCCCTCCTCTATGGTATATAAGCCCTAAGGGACTGGAGTGATGGCTCATGCCTGCAGTCCCAACGCTTTGGGAGGCTGAGGCTGGAGGATTGCTTAAAGCCAGGAGTTCGAGACCAGCCTGGGCAACAAAGCAAGACCCTGTCTCTACAAAATATAAAAAATAAAAATTACTTAGGTGCAGTGGCACATACCTACAGCCCCAGCTACTGGAGAGGCTGAGGCAGGAGGATCACTTGAGTCCAGGAGTTTGAGGCTTTTGTGAGCCATGATCGTACCACTGCTCCCCAACCTAGGCAATACAGAGAGAGAAAGAGAGAGAGAGAGAGAGACCCTGTCTCAAAAAAACAAAAAACAAAAAACAAAAAAAACGCATTGAGTCCGGGGTAATGGCACAGCAATCCACCATCTCATCTTGCTGCCCAAGACACAGACATGGACATGGCTTCTGTTCCTAGTCGCTAATTAAATGTTTCTTCCCAAGGAACTGTATTTGTTGGCCTCTTTCTTCCACCTCCCGGCATCCTGGGACTTTGAGATAGATTTGTATAGACCTGCCACCACAGAACACCAGGTCACGTGGTGACTCCATGTCTAAATGTTTGAGAAGCTGCCAGACTGGTTTCCAAAGTGGCTGTACCATTTAACATGCCCACCAGCAGCGTAGAAGGGTTCCAGTTTCTCTACATCTTCGCCAGTATTTGTTATTACCTGACTTTTGTTTAGAGCTATTCTAGTGGGTATGACTGGTATCTCAATGTGATTATAACTTCTTAATATATGCTGAGAATGAGCCTCTGATTGTTTACCTTTGAGGGATTCTTAAATAACAAGCCTCTAAGTTTCTTTTTCACGTTAAGCAGGTAATGTCCTAAACTCATAACAAGGTTCAAGGATGGCACACCTCACAGCTGCACACGAATACCCAATCATCAGACTTATGAACTACAAAAGGATCCAAACCTCTAAATTGTATGCTGTAGAAACATATCTCATACTGTCTTAAGGATCAGGTTTTGCAGGGTTACATTTTTTAAAGCTTCAGGGTAATGTTCATCTTAGCTTTCTCTAGTAAGTCGCAGGACTGTGAAGAGAAGGCAGGGAAACCAAGAATAAAAACTAGGCTGGGTCTTTTGAATTTGACCTCTAGCAGCACTAAACAAAATGTTATGTCTAGTGAGGACACCCATTAAAAATTTTGGGAATGAATGAAGGTGCCTGGGTACCCTGTGACTGTGACTGAGTCCCTTCCATGTGTCCAAGTCCTGTGCAGAACCTGTAACATATTAGGTCAGCATTCCTGGAGGAAATTGTGATGCTGTCTGGTAGCCAAGAAATAAATACATGAACAGGTACACAATGAAATAAGACAATAAAATTTGCCAAAACGTACATGATAAACTTCTTTATGAGAAGTACTACAAACATTCTGTGAGTTCAGAGGAGAGAGATTAATTTGACTGGAATAAGGAAAAAACAGTAACAAAAACCCAGAATGTAAATTATCTTCTTGAAGTTAAGCATTAGAGGAAGATTACATGTGATCTGATAGGTAGAGAGTGTTAAAGAATCTCTCCTTAACCCAACTCTAGCCAAATTCCTCTGAGCCCACTTCTCAACTAGGCATCAGCCTTGGCCTATAAAAACCAGACTCCCAGCACAAAAAATTTAGTCCACTCCCCATCCCCCACATTAAAAGACTTAAAAAAACAAACGTAATTTCTAACAGCTTGAGGCAACATCCCTAGGATAACCCAGCCCACCTTAATGTACCTGTCTGAGAAAGCTCAAAGCAATCAAAGTAATTTACTACTTGTGCCAGGCATGGGTGGCTCACGCTTGTAATCCTGCAATTTGGGAGGCCAAGGTGGGCGGATCACTTGGGGTCAAAAGTTTGAGACCAGCCTGGCCAACATGGTGAAACCTCATCTGTACTAAAAATACAAAAGATTTGTCGGGCGTGGTGGCGGGCGCCTGTAATCCCAGCTGCCATGCGTGTCCGTGTGAAGAGACCACCAAACAGGCTTTGTGTGAGCAATAAAGCTTTTTAATCACTTGGGTGCAGGTGGGCTGAGTCCGAAAAGAGAGTCAGTGAAGGGAGATAGAGGTGGGGCCGTTTTATAGGATTTGGGTAGGTAAAGGAAAATTAGTCAAAGGGGGGTTGTTCTCTGGCGGGCAGGAGTGGGGGTCACAAGGTGCTGAGTGGGGGAGCTTTTGAGCCAGGATGAGCCAGGAAAAGGAATTTCACAAGGTCATGTCACCACTTAAGGCAAAGACCGGCCATTTTCACTTCTTTTGTGGTGGAGTGTCATCAGTTAAAGCGGGGCAGGGCATTTTCACTTCTTTTGTGACTCTTCAGTTACTTCAGGCCATCTGGGCATATACCTGCAAGTCACAGGGGATGCAATGGCTTGACTTAGGCTCAGAGGCGTGACATTTCTGCCTTCTTATATTAGTAAAAATAAAACAAAATAGTATTGAAGTGTTAGGGCAGCGAAAATTTGTGGGGTGTGGTATGGAGAGATAATGGGCGATGTTTCTCAGGGCTGCTTCAAGCAGAATTAGGGACAGCATGGGAACCTAGAGTGGGAGAGATGAAGCTGAAGGAAGATTTTGTGGTAAGAGGTGACACTATGGGTTGTTAGAAGGAGTATTTGTCATATAGAATGATTGGTGATGGCCTGGATGCGGTTTTGTATGAAACGAAAAACTAAACAGAGGACACAAGGTCAGAATAAGAAAAGGAGAAAAAATAGGCATTAAGGGACTAAGAATTGGGAGGACCTAGGACATCTAATTAGAGAGCTTAAGGGGGTTCAGTGTAATTACTTGTTTGGTTGGTGAGTTTTTAGGCTCTATCCAAGTTTTTTTGGGGTGCAGTTCAAGTTGGGCTGGTGTCTGGAATGAGACTGGGACTTAATAAAAAGGAGTGTCCACACAGGAGCTCAAATGGGCTGGAACCTGTAGCATTCCGAGGACAGGCCTGAATTCTGAGAAGGGAAAGCAGTAAAAGTATTGTCTAGTCCTTTTTAAGTTGGTGACTGGGCTTGGCGAGGTGTGTTTTTAAAAGACCATTAGTCCGTTCTACTTTTCCTGAAGATTGAGGACGGTAAATGATATAAAGGTTTCACTGAATACCAAGAGTCTGAAAAACTGGGTGATTTGACTAATAAAGGCTGGTCCGTAATCAAACTGTATAGAGGTGGGAAGGCCAAACCGAGGAATTATGTCTGACAGAAGGGAAGAAATGACCGCAGTGGCCTTCTCAGACCCTGTGGCAAAGGCCTCTACCCATCCAGTGAAAGTATCTACGTAGACTAAGAGATATTTTAGTTTTCTGATTCGGAGCATGTGAGTAAAGTCAATTTGCCCATCCTGGGGGAGGGCAAATCCCCGAGCTTGATGCGTAGGGAAGGGAGGGGGCCTGAGAAATTCCTGAGGAGTAGTAGAATAGCAGATGGAACACTGAGAAGTGATTTCCTTGAGGATAGATTTCTAGGATGGAAAGGAAATGAGAGGTTCTAAGAGACAGGCTAGTGGCTTGTAACTTAGATGGAAGAGGTTATGAAATGACGACAGAATAGAATAGGCCTGTGAGACTGAGGCTGTAAGAATTCTGACCGCACTAACCATGCCTAGGAAGGAAAGGAGCTGTTGTTTTGTAGAAGGGATTGTAGTTTGGGAGATTAGCCAGACACGATCAGCAAGGAGAGCATGTGTGTTTTTATGAGAATTATGCTGAGATAGGTAACAGATGAGGAAGAAATTTGGGCTTGACTGAAGTAATGGGGGCTGTCTGTGAAGCCTTGCAGCAGTAAAGTCTAGGTCATTTGCTGAGCCTGATGGGCGTCAGGGTCAGTCCAAGTGAAAGCGAAGAGAGGCTGGGATGAAGGGTGTAAAGGAATAGTAAAGAAAGTATGTTTGAGATCCAGAACAGAATAATGGGTTGTGGAGGGAGGTATTGAGGATAGGAGAGTATATGGGTTTGGCACCACGGGTTGGGTAGAAAAAACAATTTGGTTGATAAGGTGCAGATCCTGAACTAACCTGTAAGCCCTGTCTGGTTTTAGGAGAGGTAAAATGGGGGAATTGTAAGGGGAGTTTACAGGCTTTAAAAGGCCATGCTGTAACAGGCAAGTGATAACAGGCTTTAATCCTTTTAAAGCGTGCTGTGGGATGGGATATTGGTGTTGAGTGGGGTAAGGGTGATTAAGTTTTAATGAGATGGTAAGGGGTGCATGATCGGTCACCAAGGAGGGAGTAGAGGTATCCCATACTTGTGGGTTAAGGTGGGGAGATACAAGGGGAGGATGCGAAGGAGGCTTTGAACTGGGGGAAAAGGCAGCGGTGAAGTGTGGCTGTAGCCCAGGAATAGTCAGGGAAGCAGAAAATTTAGTTAAAATATCTTGACCTAATAAGGGAGCCAGGCAGGTGGGGATAACTAAAAATGAGTGCTAACTGATTTAGGAGAGGTCGGATAAAGAAAAAGGAGCAATTATCTTGACTATGCCTTTAGCTCTTGTTACCTTTTTAAGAGGAAATTGCTGGGCAGGTGGGGGAGGGCTAATCGCAGAACGAAACTGCAAGCCGGACGGGGTGTGAGGAGGGGAGGTGATAAAAGGATTATAGGGTTGGGGAGCAGAGGCTGAGGAAACTTGGGACCTACCTTGGCCTGGCGAGGAGGGGAGAGGTCAGATGGGTCTGTAGAAAAGGAAGGTTAGAAAGACTCAGTAATGCTTGGGGTTGGGACTAAGGGGACAGGAGGAAGGGAAAGAAGGAAGATTTGGGATGAGTTGCATTGGGAACAGAGACTAGGAAGGTACCAATGTGTAAAAGAATGCCTGGACATCAGGCACCTCAGACCGTTTGCCCATTTTACGACAAGAATTATTTAGATCTTGTAGGATGGAAAAATCAAAAGTGCCATTTTCTGGCTATTTGGAACTACCATCGAGTTTGTATTGGGGTCAAGCGGCATTGTAGAAGAAGATTTTAGGTCAGGTGTGAGTTGAAGGGGTTTTAAGTTCTTGAGAACACAGGCTAAGGGAGAAGAAGGAGGAATGGAGGGTGGAAGGTTGCCCATAGTGAAGGAGGCAAGCCCAGAGAAAAGAGAGCTACTCTTTTAGAGTAGCTAGAGAAGGGGTTGGGGGGTTCTTGCCCTCCAGAAAAGTGGGAAAGGGGTTGGGACGCACAGATAAGGGGTCAGGGCATGGAGATAAGGGGTCGGGGTGCAGAGATAAGGGGTTGGCGCACAGAGATAAGGGGTCGGGGGGTTCTTGCCCCCAGAAAAGCAGAGAAGGAGTCAGGGGTTCTTGCCTTCCCCCCGCCCAGAAAAGCAGAGAAGGGGTAGAGACAGGGAGAAAAGGGGTCAGGGTTCTTGCCCCCACCACCCAGAAAAGCGGTACTTGCTGCTAAGGGTGAAAGACCAAGGCAGGTGTCCCTGTGTGGTCAGATATCTCTGAGACGTGGGTGAATAATCAGGCAGGCGTCCCTGCAGTGATTAAACACCAAGGGAAGACTGTCTTCCCGAGTCTGTGACTGGCGCCAGAGTTTTGGGTCCACGGATAAAAAGCGTCCCCTTTGTCTCTACCAGAAAAGGAAAAGAACTGAAATTAAGAGAAGAGAAAGATTGAAGTGTGGTGTCAAGATTGAAAGGAGAAAGAGGTTGAGGGATAGTGAGAGAGGTTGGAGAACAGAGTGAAAAGAGGCCACTTACCCAATTTAAAATTGGTGAGATGTTCCTTGGGCCGGTCGGTCTGAGGACTCGAGGTTGTAGGTGGATCTTTCTCACGGAGCAAAGAGCAGGAGGACAGGGGATTGATCTCCTAAGGGAGGTCCCCCGATCTGAGTCACGGCTCGTGGCACCAAAATGTCATGCACATCTGTGTGAAGAGACCACCAAAGAGGCTTTGTGAGAGCAATAAAGTTTTTAATCACCGGGGTGCAGGCAGGCTGAG